ATATATATATATATATATATATATATATATATATATATATATATATATATATATATATATAATATATACACCGCCATTCAAAAGGGGGTAAAATTTTTTTATTTGGTTTAAAAGAAATATCTTCTGCTCAGCAAGGCTTCATTTTTTAAAATCAAAAATACAGTAAAAACAGTAAATATACAATTTGAAAGAACGGCTTTCTATTTGAATATATTTTAAAATGTATTTTTCCTGTCATGTTAAAGCTCCATTACTCCACCTTTCAGTGTTACATAAACCTTCAGAAATCATGCTGATTACTGCTCAAGAAACATTTCTGATTATTATTTTATAGCTGTTATAAGCTGCTCAGTAATCGTGTGGAGGTGTTTTTTATTTTTCTATGAGCAGAGAGATTGAAATATAAATATGAATTATGTGTTAATAAGAAATGTGAATTATTTGAAGTGCTTTATTACCATTATTAATGTCTTTACTGTCATTTAGTGTCATTTTTTTATTGCACATGATCAATGCAAGACAGGGAACATATCAACACGCAAAAAAAAAAAGAAGCTAGATTTGAAATTTAATAGACTCATAACATTACATTCTATTACATTTCATAACTGTTATTAAAAACAGGGCATTTTCTAAAACTAAGGGATAGGGATGTCAATGATTAATCGATGATCAATTAATTGTCGATAAGAGATGCAATCGATTAAGCTATTTAATTTTGGGCTGTGTGCGGCTCATGCACAAAACACGTGTGAGCAGCTGTGAGTGACGGTATATAAATGCATCATCATTCATAATACCAGCCGCTGAGGGACTGGCATGGTCCCTACACAGTGTGCATTGCTCCCTACTCCCTGAGCAGGGGAAATCCATTGAAGTTTACTTCACTTCGGAATATTCATTTACAGATTTGCGCCGCTGCCTGCAGCATCTTCACACACAAACGAAACTTACTAGAGAAGCGTGAAGTGGGACATAATATAATTTACATAATTAAACATAATTTAAATTCACATCTCGCACACTTAAATGCCCTTTGTATGGAATATATACGCTCCCTTCAAACTGGAATCATGGCGGAATATCCGGTAATGTCCACTTCGCAGAGCACTTAGTCAAATATAACAAACGTATGAAGCAATAAGAGAAACGCACAAAATGTGCAGAGCGGGGGTACGCGATGACTGGAATTGAGAACCGCTGGTCAAGACATGCCGAAAATGTGAGGCTACAGCACAGCAGTTGCTCTTCTTCGTCGTCTCGTCTGATGCAGTCACTCAACCAAGCGTTCTAACCACGACATCGCCCCTCCCCTCCCCCCAACCATTCGAATTTCTGTAGGCAGGAATTCTTTGTAATGATATTCCAATGAGCAAACAAAACAAAAACAAACGCTGTAGTCCAAACGAGCTGTTTACTGTAGTTCTTGAAACTACATTCAAGAACATGGTTGAAACACGAGGAACCGAATTCCACAAAAAAGACCAAGACACAGGATGTTCGTAAATCAGATCCTGGCGCCACAAGTCTGAAGCAACCAACTAGCAGCTTTAAGAAGACTTATTGACAATTCCAAGGAGATTGTCAATTTTGGGGCAAGTAATCAAGATTGATGGTCAAAGAGATGCACAGCATGACCATCACATGTAAATCCATGATAGTAATCACGATCACAAGCTCTTTGGATTGACTTCCCCCCCCCTAGAAGACAAGAACCAGACTGAGATTCCTTAGGAGACCTTTTTAACCTCTCTGGTCTTCACAGAACATGTCCACATACATCCACAGAATGGCACAGAAACTACCTTTCCATGTATATATGCACCTAAATGACACTAAAAGGACTTGTGAGCAACTAATCATTTCTATGCATAACTCCATATTATGTATGTAACCCACATGTGTGATTATCATGTTCTAATCACTTATTGTGTGTGTATTTTGAATAACTATCGAATAGTTTATAGGATTATATTCATGTTGGGTATGTATGAGTGTGAAAATTCATGCTTTAAACGTTTCTATCAATCAATACTTTGTCAAATGTAT